GAAAACCAAATCTGCATTCAACTACTATCCTAAGCCCTATTTTTCCAAAAGTATAATGCTCTCTAAGATCATTCTAACTTTTATATCACCAAAATGTAGGGAAAAAAACTTGTCTAGACGCCTTGGAGATAAAAAATAAAATAATGCCTCTTTATAATCTAACTCAAAGTTCTGTGATCCTATGACTCCATGTCAGTAACATTATCGTGTGTATAAATGTAATTTTCTACAAAAAATTCTTTCTTCACGAGAGAGAGAGAAAGACAGAGAGAGAGAGAGAGAGAGAGAGAGGACAGAACGAGGGAGGGGAGGGGCCTCCCGAACAAAGGAAGCATGGAGTCAAATACTTTTCTCGTTTTTCTCGTGACAAGGTTCTAAATCAGTGGTAAAAGTTTTTCTCACGTCAAACGACACTTTACATTTTATCCTTAAATACGTCAGTAATGGAAAACATTACTATTTGCTTACATGAGTAATAGTCCCAGCAGAATCTTTTTTTTTTTTTTGATTCTCTGTGACTATTAAACATTACATCAGAATAAGAGAAAAACTTCCATAACTGATCATTTCTTCACATGAAACTCGTATACTACAGCCAAGAGGCTCTCTTTTTCCTCATTAATCAGATCATTATTATCAGAATCCACATTTTAAATACTTGGCTTTTCTTCTGTTTAAATTAATTGTGCCCTTTTCCCCGCCCCCGGGGGATATGGAGTTTTTATTATCCTATAACTTCTGACCCTAACTATCCCTATTTCTCTAATCCTATTTATCTAAACAGTTGTGCCTCTTTTGCACTTATACCCCTGTGGCTCTTTTCATCATCTGTTCTGTTTTTTAAGGAGGGACCAATGCTTCCCCCAAGGTTAAAACGTCTAAACCTGACTATTGTTCTATCGCGTCCGATGGAACGCCCCGTCACGGCGGTCGCCTGGCCACGCTGCAGTCCGTCGAGCCGAATTCTCTCTCTCTCTTCCATTTAAAACAATGTGCAGATTTTCAAAAGTAACGATCCGCTTACCTCTTTCGAAGAGAAGAGAGAAGAGAAGAGAGAATTCTCCCGGCCCACGGACCCAGTCTATATTTGAGCTCATCTCTGTCTTTCTTCTGCACCATCACGTCTCAGGTCACCAAATGTAGTCAATAATTCCCTTTGACTAACGTGTTTCAAAATGGTTGCAGAAGTAAGGCAAACGATGTTCAAGTTTAACATCTGCATTTAATTATCTTTACAATCAGATACAGAATGTTCAACAGAAGTGCTCCTATTCTCTGCCTGGTCTTTCCCTGTCCGTGCCCTGTCCTGTCTGACCTCAAAAAACACACACACACGGGCTCATGAGGGAGACTTCCGATGACGTCATCCTTATGCGTCCAAGGGTGGAGGTTTCCGGGTGTGCTGACGTCCCCTATCCACTGGGAGGCGTCAGAATGCAGTTGGTGAATCTCCCAGTCTGCCTCAAGATCAGGTTCTGTACTTTTGTCCTCGTCAAAATGTTTATTATTTAAAGTTAATAATTCGCCCTGTTTAAACAGCATTTTATCTTTATGACTCATGTCTGATTATCCTGTGTCCTTGGGGTTTTTCCTGAGTGCACAGAGGTCTTTCTGGCTATGATGTTCAAATGGTCAAATATTAAAATATACAACAAGATATAGATATGAAAATGCCATAGTTGCACTGATCTGGAACTCATTTAAACTCTGAAAATGAAATCCTGTGAATTGCAATAATGAAGTGGTCCTGACTTATTTTGAAAGTCGTATGTTTTGAGCCGTGTATTTTGACGCACACCTCTCTTTCACTGCGGGGATAAGCTTTCCCATGGTCGTACTAGAACCATGTGGCATTCCAACACATGTCAAAAAATCCCTTCTCACTATAGAAAGAAGAATTTATGTCGTCTTCAGTTTTTTGGAGAAGGAGATTTTCAGGAGATTCAGTTTTTTTAATTTTTATAAAATTGACAGAATGTGGAACTGGCACACTCTGTATCAGATCAAAATAAAACTGCTAATGTCCATCACTCCTTCAAGATCTTTTCTCTCTTGTTTCCCAGTGACAGGCTCAATCAGGCGTTCCAACATTATTCCGCTGGTGTATTGTGGAGAGAGATGTCTATCGGGAGGATGGATCGTCACACTTGAGACTAAGTGTCTTGTCAACATGGAAACGTGACGGCCCATCCATCAAGCCGCCATTAACACCACGTGATGCTCCGGAGCCAGAGGAGAGAACACAGAATGGGTTTGTTATTACTGAGCCAATTTCACATAAAAACATCTCATATCTTTGCAACATTACTGTGTTTCCTAATGAGAAGTAGAACATTAAATCTAACCCAGTATTCCACAGCTGCACGACTGCAGCCCCTCTGTTGGGATCAAATACAGACCTGGAGATGTGTTTAGCACCATCCAGGCTAATATCAGGATTGTCTGGAACATGTTGCCCTGTCCCATCTAATGCTCCACATGCTCATATCTCCAACTTGTTTTTGGTTTCAAAGAAAGTATCATTATCCACAAATGTCTCCACTGAATTGACCTCATTCACAGGGGCTGGAGCCAAATTTGAGGCAACAACCTGGCAACACATTCCCTTTCAAACTAATGAAAATATCACCCCCAAAAATGTTTAGTGTTTCACCAGATTTATGAATATTAAGTCATTTATACGTATTTTTTATTTTTATTGTTTTTTACTTTTAGTCACTCTTACTAAGTCCTAAAACTAGTTAATCTAACTTAAAATAAACAGTGCGTTGCTATGGTAACGGACCAGCACCAGTCCAGGACCAGCACCAGTCTAGGACCAGGACCAATCCAGGACCAGCATCAGACCAGGACCAGTCCAGGACCAGCACCAGTCCAGGACCAGCACCAGCACATTGGAGAAAAGGTCTTTCTCTGTCATGACTACATTTGAATCTGAGTTAGAGGTAGAAGTTACTCAGTTACTTAGTTTAAAAAAATAAAAAATAATAATAATAATAATAATGGCATGTAAATAAACTACAGAGAGACACAAAAAGTCCTGAAGTTGTGAAGATCAAAACCACTGAGTAGTTAGACTTCCAGAACTAAAACCCATCAAATTGACTGCAGTAGTTCTATTGTTTATGAATTCGGGTTGAGCCTATTTATATCTTCTGTTAAAAAAAGATGATGTCCAAAGGCAGCGTCACCAGAGCAACAAACATGTCATTTGTGCCGCTATTGAATGTGCTGCTAATATACAGCGTCATTAGCAGCTGTGCCTTTGTCTCTGGGGACCAAACAGGGTCCAACAAATTGCTGTAGTCTGGGAGAAATTGGGCACACATAATCCTTTGGCATAAACTCTGGGGGAGGGAGGTTTTGGGTCCGGCCGGTGGTCCCTGGTCTCAGATAATGGGCCATGTCTTTCGCTGTGAGGGCCGTGCGTTGCCAGACTCAAATGTCACGCGGCGTTTAAGCCCGTGCAGACAATAATCCTGCCTCATGCGCAATCAGCGTGAAAAGAACAAGTGCGAAAATCCAGCATGGAGAAAATGTAGAGCAGCTTTTGTGATGGGAGTCGGCTGCCGTGGCAACAGATGTGTACGGAGACACGTGTGGGCCTAAACAAGGCAACATGGAAGCTCCTCTCCTCCAAAGTGCTTGTGATGAAGTGGTTTTGAGATTGTATCAGAAGTGAGCACACATTTGCCGGCTGAAAGACTTGGAAGCTGAGAATCCAACAGTGCAAGTGGTTTTTGAATGATCCGTCTAAATAGTTCTGCCACAATGCCTTTGTATCTCTACTTTTGTATTCACATGAATGTTTGACCAAAAGGACAACCTTAGAGCAGATTTCACCAACTTAAGTGAATGAGAAAGGATTGGCCCCGCAACAGCCAATCAGATCTCAGCTCAAAAAGTCGTATATGCCTCATTCGCACTGAGAGAAAAACAATTTAGCACAATTTTCAGCCCTGTTTACACCAGTCCTACTTGGCCCTACTCTACTCTTCTCTTCCCGGCTCTACTCTACCTGGTTGTGTTTCCATTACTGTAATATAGCAACCTGCCAACAACAAACCAGTGTCCTTGAAAATTCCTTGGTAACCATGGTTTCCAGCAGCACTTTGGCCTATCTCTGTCAGTTAGAACACTTTAGAACCAGCCCTAAAATAGGACCTGGTGCTGCTTAAACACGGCCCGTGGAAACACTCCTAAATGGAGTAGAGTAGAGTAAAGCAGAGAAGAGTAGAGTAGGGCCGAGTCGAGTAGAGTAGTTTAAAGCAGAGTACCGTAGGGTAGGGTACGGTAGGGTAGGGTAGGGTAGAGTAGGATAGGGTAGGGTAGGGTAGGGTAGAGTAGGATAGGGTAGGGTAGGGTAGGGTAGAGTAGAGTAGAGTAGAGTAGAGTAGAGTAGAGTAGAGTAGAGTAGGGTAGAGTAGAGTAGAGTAGAGTAGAGTAGAGTAGAGTAGAGTAGAGTAGAGTAGGGTAGAGTAGGGTAGGGTAGGGTAGGGTAGGGTAGAGTAGGGTAGGGTAGAGTAGAGTAGAGTAGAGTAGAGTAGAAGTGGTAGAGTAGAGTAGAGTAGAAGTGGTAGAGTAGAGTAGAGTAGAGTAGAGTAGAGTAGAGTAGAGTAGGGTAGGGTAGGGTAGGGTAGAGTAGAGTAGAGTAGAGTAGAGTAGAGTAGAGTAGAGTAGAGTAGAGTAGAGTAGGGTAGAGTAGGGTAGAGTAGGGTAGGGTAGGGTAGGGTAGAGTAGGGTAGGGTAGAGTAGAGTAGAGTAGAGTAGAGTAGAAGTGGTAGAGTAGAGTAGAGTAGAAGTGGTAGAGTAGAGTAGAGTAGAGTAGAGTAGAGTAGAGTAGAGTAGGGTAGGGTAGGGTAGGGTAGGGTAGAGTAGAGTAGAGTAGAGTAGAGTAGACGTGGTAGAGTAGAGTGGTGGAAACGGGGCTATAGTCTCTCCTTGAACGGCACTGTTTCCTGAACCCACTTTGTCACATAATCCACATGAACCATTGGACATCATTCAGAGCTACTCACGTCTCCGCTGAAGCTGTATTTCCCTTTGACCACGGCTCGGTAGAGTTTGGTTCGACTCTCGTCTTCGAACGGCATAGATCCGCTCAGCATGATGAAGACGACCACTCCCAGAGCCCACAGATCCACCGCGGGAGAAGAGCCTTTTCTCTGCACGGCTTCGGGGGCCATGTACTCCGGAGTCCCGCACGTGGTTCTCAGCGACCAGGACGTATCCATGCTAGCACCGTCACCGCCGCTCCCAAAACCGTTGCCGCCGTTTTTACCGCTAAACGTTGCTAGACCAAAGTTGGTGAGAAGCAGTTTGGAGTTGGCGCCCGGATGGTAGTAAAGCAAATTCTCCGGTTTCAAATCTCGGTGCGTTATGCCGAGACCGTGGAGGTAGCTAACAGCGTCCAGCACCATTTTGATAGCCTTGGTCGCGTCACGTTCAGTGAAATGTCCTTTGCTAACGACCCGGTCCAGCAGTTGGCCTCCGGTGGCGAGCTCTAGGACCATGTAGACCCGGTGTGGGAGCTGAAACACTTCCGCCATGTGCACGATGTGGGGGTGGGACACTCGCTTTAGCACGGTTAGCTCGGCGGCGCACACTTCGCGGCCCTCGGGGAACTCCACCTCCATCATCTTTATGGCGTAGGGCTGGTGCGTGCCGCGGTGCTCCGCTCGCACCACGCGGCTGAAGCTGCCGCGGCCGATCAGGGCCTGGATGTGGTACCTGACCGAGGACAGGGTTAATGCTTCACACTCTTGCTCGTCACAATTCAAAAAGGTACATTTTTGTCTTGAGTTCAACACTTTTAAACTTGACTTTCAAAAGAACCACAAAAGTATTTTAACCCAAGACAGAATGAACCTTTGAATCATGACGACAGTGGTTACACCTTTTATCATTATTAATATTGATTTTGTGTGTGTTTATGTAAATATGTTTTCTTATCTGTAATGCTCTGTAAAATTGTTGAGTATATTCTTTTATGTATTTATGTTTAGGAAAACCTTAAAGAATTAGAGGATTAAACTCAAGGGGCTTTCCTTAAATAAACTTAAACTTATTATAGAGTACAGTAGTTTTCGCCCACAGCTTTAAATCCCAACATTCATAACGTCAGGCAACAATCCATTCAAGAAGGTCTGCTGATTAAGTCTTTTCAATATGAATTCACAATTATATAGTATTAAAAATATATGTTTGTCGGTGCACCAGAATGTACATTTTTAGTTTATGGACAAAGAAAAGTTTTTTTTGAAAGATTTGCTCTGAAAGAAGTTGCATTCAACTGTGTCTTTTAGCTTCCATCTGCTCTGATCTGACTCGTATTGTCCTGGAGGAGACGCAGTGTGTGTGTGTGTCTGTGTGTGTGTGTGGGTGTGTGTGTGCGTGTGGCGTGTGTGTGTGTGGCGTGTGTGTGTGTGTGTGTGTGTGTGTGTGTGTGCGTGTGTGTGTGGCGTGTGTGTGTGTGTGTGTGTGTGTGTGCGTGTGGCGTGTGTGTGTGTGTGTGTGCGTGTGTGTGTGTGTGTGTGTGTGTGTGGCGTGTGTGTGTGTGTGTGTGTGCGTGTGTGTGTGTGTGTGCGTGTGGCGTGTGTGTGTGTGTGTGTGTGTGCGTGTGCGTGTGTGTGTGGCGTGTGTGTGTGTGTGTGCGTGTGGCGTGTGTGTGTGTGTGTGGGTGCGTGTGGCGTGTGTGTGTGTGGTGTGTGTGTGTGTGTGCGTGTGGCGTGTGTGTGTGTGTGGCGTGTGTGTGTGTGTGGTGTGGGTGTGGTGTGTGTGTGTGTGTGTGTATGGCCTGTGTGGGTGTAGTGTGGGTGTGTGGTATGTGTGTGTGGTGTGTGTGTGTGTGGGTGCGTGTGTGGGTGTAGTGTGTGTGTGGGTGTGTAGTGTACGTGTGTGTGTGTGTGTGTGTGTGGGTGTAGTGTGCATGTGTGTGTGTGTGTGGGTGGGTGTAGTGTGTGTGTGTGTGTAGTGTATGTGTGTGTGTGTGTGTGTGGGTGTAGTGTGCATGTGTGTGCGTGTGTGTGTGTAGACGCTGAGTAATCATAATCATAATCATGAAATGCTTTTAGTGTTGAACTGAGATGAACCAGACCTTGCGGTGACTCTGGGATCAAACTTGTCTCTGTAGGTCTTAGTTTGAGCCCTGGGTCTCGTGTCCGGGCGGCGGTGACTCTGCGATGGCGGCTGCGATGGCGGCTGCTCCTTCTCCTGCTTCGCCTTTCCTCCAAACCAACATGTTGTCTGTTTGTGTTTACTCTCCTCTTTCTCGTCACAGACTCGAGTAAACGCCGCCAGAGACCGCACCACGCTCACAAAGCCAGACTTGGACTCTGCCGGCAACACTTTACCAACACCACACCCCATCGGCCACATCCGTGCTCTCTCTGGCCTCTTGCTGCGGTGGAGCCTGGAGAGCCTTCAGCAGAAGCAGCAGAGGAAGTCCATATATGGAGCTATTGCTGCTAAACTCCGCCCCTTCACAGGTAACACAGGTGTGATGTCACGTCTTGCTCTTAGGTGACGAATGTGTCACGTAAGTAGCGGTTTATTTGAAGCCATTGTGGAAAGAGAGTGACGGAAGCAAAGAGAAAGAAACAGAAGAGGCCAAAACACTTTGTAATAACTTCTATTATTTACAACTTAAAGCTGGGGTACCTGACTTTCATTCATTTCAGAAAACACATGCACACATATTTGCTGCAATTGAAGAAGTCTTCTAAAATTATAATGTTGTGTGAATAAATCCAACCATAACACTTTGTACACTTTGTTTGCTATAGACTGCCATTAAAGCTGGGGTACCTGACTTTCAAACATTTGAACTTATAGCATTCATCAGTTTCTCAGTTCTATCTTGTGTCACCTCTTTTTGTTCCAGATTATGTTTAATCTGAAACGCTGCCTCCCCATGTTTAGTCCCTGTGCTCCTCAGAGTCCCAGCAGGAGTCCAGTCCCTGTGCTCCTCAGAGTCCCAGCAGGAGGCCAGTCCCTGTGCTCCTCAGAGTCCCAGCAGGAGTCCAGTCCCTGTGCTCCTCAGAGTCCCAGCAGGAGTCCAGTCCCTGTGCTCCTCAGAGTCCCAGCAGGAGGCCAGTCCCTGTGCTCCTCAGAGTCCCAGCAGGAGGCCTGTACCTGTGCTCCTCAGAGTCCCAGCAGGAGGCCAGTCCCTGTGCTCCTCAGAGTCCCAGCAGGAGGCCAGTCCCTGTGCTCCTCAGAGTCCCAGCAGGAGGCCAGTCCCTGTGCTCCTCAGAGTCCCAGCAGGAGTCCAGTCCCTGTGCTCCTCAGAGTCCCAGCAGGAGTCCAGTCCCTGTGCTCCTCAGAGTCCATGTTGGTTCATATGGGACTAACATGTCAGAGAGACAAAGTTAATTCTCTGAGCTCAGGACGTAGAAATAAAACAACATGTTTATTGTAAACCTTTTAGAAAAGAAAAACTCCAGATCGATGCATTGCACAAAACAAAATCCTAAAGTTGTTTTCTAAAGCAAATAACTTTCCTCATTTTAAAAGATTAAAACTTCTACAGCTTCTTTTTGTGTTTCCGCCCAAAAATAAAAGTGGACATTTACGACGTTTGAGGAATCCTTGAAACGTGTCTTATCGTCTCGTCTTTCGGGTTAAATAAACGTCACAAAGGCACAAAGGCCATAAAAGATCAACACATTTGGTGTAATATTCTTCTTCTTCCCTTCGTCTCCTTTGAGGCCTAATCCCCTCTGCCACAGACGCTGCTTATTTCCAACAACACATACTTTTAATAATTCAAAAACACATGAAAGAAAGCATTAAAGCTGCACTTAAATATGAGCCAGAGGAAAGCCTCGCCTAAAGGGAGTCACGGAGACGCTTCTGAAACACACTCAGGGAATATCTGTCCTCTCTGGAGTCTACAATCTGAGCTTTAGTCCAACTACAAAAACAAAACACATTCAACATTCTGTTTTTTTCTGCATCTTGTGTCAGTGGAAGATTTTTGCCAACAGAAATGTTATTGACATTTTTTAAACCAGGAAAGTGGCAGTTGTCAGGCGTTAGGGTTAGGCTAATGTACATGTATTTATTTGGAGGGTAAACTGGAGGACATTTAACCTCCATTTAACGGCCCGCAGAGATGTCATGTAGGCGGAGCTAAAGTTGGGTCTGGAGCCAGGCTGGTAGATTTGAGGAGTTTTTTACTTAGAAGCTAGAGTGGTATGGACTCTGTGATGTGACAAAACAACACAACTGTGAGGATTGTGATCTTTTGTGTTCTGCTGCCCCCTCCCTGTGTTTGTGCTGCAGCCCCCGTCACCATCAGGCCGGGCTGGTGGTGACGGGGGCGTGACTGGTTCCGTGGCAGTAGAGCACACCGGCAGCTCTTAAGCTCAGCGCTGACTGCAGTTTTTGGCAGATACAGTAATTCTGTCTCGTTGGGTTGTGCTTTGAGCCTCTGCAGTCATTTTTGGATCGCTTGTGTTTTTCTGGGATTTCGAACTTACCGTCTCCTCATTTTTCCCCAGGTGCTCTACCATTCTGCCTCTGCCAGTCTCCACAGCCGCCTACCAGTAATTCTGTCTGTAAATAATAAACTGCAAATACATGACAGTCTCCACTCTGCCTTTTGGGATCCTAATTTTCATTTTTGTTTTGTGCAGCACTTTGAGTTGCCTTGTGTACGAATTCTTCTATACAAATAAACTTGCCTTGCATTCCTCCATTTTGGGTCCACCTTTGTTTAACCTCACGAGAACTGACTCCGTCCTGACTCCTTTTCTGGTAGCCTTCCAAAACAGACGTCTGGACCAACATGTTGAGGACCAGCAGCTCTACCCCGAGCTCCCCCCCATGTGGCCAATCTCAACAGTTTGCCCTAATAGCAACTGAGCAGAGGAAACTACTGTGAGCCGCTCGTATCCACCATCGTTCCCTTTCAATCCCCCAAATCTCGTGCCCATCTCACTATGTTCGTGCTCCCCTGGTTAGGAAACACTGACAGACTCCCCAAATGACATATTATTTCTCCGTGATCTATTTATAGTGACCCAAATACACCCTGAGCTCTGTCACTTGATCATTTCCCATCGGCTCGGGCATTGATAGTAGGATTGATTGCAGATTCTATGGCGGTCAACAACATCATATATTTCTATCGAGCCATCGGCCAGATTGAGTTGTCATCAGCGGGAGAAGAATAGGCGTTTGATTGCTGCGTGTTCTCTCTCCCATCATGCATCAGCCATCAGAGTGCGGCAGCTGTCATGGCGCCTGTGAAGCGGTGCACACATACATGCCTACATCAGCGGCGACGATGACTCGGAATGGAAGAACTCGTCTGTAGCGGAACATGCTGAACAGAAGTTGGTTTTAGGTTATTCTTTTTTCAGTGTAACTAAAAACGATTATGTCAAATTCAACTGTAACAGGGACGTGCAGTCAGGGGAGGCAGGGGAGGCAGAGCCTCACCTGCCATTATTGGAAACTAATAATTATTTTAGTTTAAATATATAATTTATATCCACTGTCCTATGCTTTTAATGTATATTCGGCACGGTTCCCATCAGTTTTGATCATTTCTGAAGTCAAAATCGCCGAAATCCCGTTATTCCTATTCAAAGAGACGAGGTGAGGCAGCGCTCCTGCGTGCCTCACCTCAGACCGCTCCCTCACAGTGTGTGTGTGTGTGTGTCTGAGTGCACTCAGCTCGTGCAGTTGATATATCACCGTTTGTTTCAAATATCCTGCTTTAAAAACATTTTTTAAACTCCTCTTAGTGTTTAGTAGTGTATTGCACGTATGTGTGTACAATTTATATTTAGTTTAAGTCTTTTGATCGTAGATGAACACACAAGGAAAAAGCTTGGCGTGAGGCAGGCGGTATCTGTGCCTCACCGCTAGGGGTGATAGTGAGCATAAAGTTCATACCAGAGTTGCTAACAAACAATCAGCCCAAAATGCTATTTCTTTTGCTGGAAAATGGATGATTTGAATGAAATTTTTTTTTCTCAATTGGACTTTCAAACAAAGAAAGAATTAATATAGACTGGGAGACCACCACTGGACTTACGAGGTTAGTCCGGCTGCGGGGAGGAGTTTGTTAATCTGTGTTTTATGTTGAACATTGACAGATACCGGCAAAGTAGTGCTTTTCCGAAAAACACTGATTCAAACACTGCTCAAGAGTTCTGCAACTTGTTTAAATTATTGTTTATGTTCCTCCTCTCTCTCTCCTCGCGTCTCCTCTCTCTCTGCTCCTCTCTGTCTCTCTCTGCTCCTCTCTGTCTCTCTCTGCTCCTCGCTCTCCGTCTCTCTGCTCCTCTCTGTCTCTCTCTGCTCTCTCCGTCTCTCTGCTCCTCTCTGTCTCTCTCTGCTCCTCTCCGTCTCTCTGCTCCTCTCTGTCTCTCTCTGCTCCTCTCCGTCTCTCTCTGCTCCTCGCGTCTCCGTCTCTCTCTGCTCCTCGCGTCTCCGTCTCTCTGCTCCTCTCCGTCTCTCTCTGCTCCTCGCGTCTCCGTCTCTCTGCTCCTCTCTGTCTCTCTCTGCTCCTCGCGTCTCCGTCTCTCTGCTCCTCTCTGTCTCTCTCTCCTCGCGTCTCCGTCTCTCTCTGCTCCTCTCTGTCTCTCTCTGCTCCTCTCTCCTCGCGTCTCTCTCTCCTCGCGTCTCTGTCTCTCTCTGCTCCTCTCTGTCTCTCTCTGCTCCTCTCTCCTCGCGTCTCTCTCTCCTCGCGTCTCTCTCTGCTCCTCGCGTCTCCGTCTCGTCTCTCTGCTCCTCTCTGTCTCTCTCTGCTCTCTCTCTCTCGCGTCTCCGTCTCTCTCTGCTCCTCGCGTCTCCGTCTCTCTCTGCTCCTCGCGCTCTCCGTCTCTCTCTGCTCCTCGCGTCTCCGTCTCTCTGCTCCTCTCTGTCTCTCTCTGCTCCTCGCGTCTCGTCTCTCTGCTCCTCTCTGTCTCTCTCTGCTCCTCTCTCCTCGCGTCTCTCTCTCCTCGCGTCTCGTCTCTCTCTGCTCCTCGCGTCTCCGTCTCTCTGCTCCTCTCTGTCTCTCTCTGCTCCTCTCCTCTCTCGTCTCTTGTCCTCGTCTCCGTCTCTCTCTGCTCCTCGCGTCTCCGTCTCTCTCTGCTCCTCGCGTCTCCGTCTCTCTGCTCCTCTCTGTCTCTCTCTGCTCCTCGCGTCTCCGTCTCTCTGCTCCTCTCTGTCTCTCTCTGCTCCTCTCTCCTCGCGTCTCTCTCTCCTCGCGTCTCTGTCTCTCTCTGCTCCTCGCGTCTCCGTCTCTCTGCTCCTCTCTGTCTCTCTCTGCTCCTCGCGTCTCCGTCTCTCTGATGTGTTGCTAACATGGTTGCTAGGGTGAGCTGGATTTCCCTCCCGGTGAATGGCGGCGTCATAACGGTCAGCCATTATGGCCCATATCCATAATATTAAACTCCAGGATCAAAGAAAGCCCAAAACAATGACACAAGCTGTAATTGAGTAGGAGCAAGACTTTGTCCATGAGCACTTTTCTATTGGAATTCTGTCATGAAATGAGTAGAAAGCTGGACAGTTTCAGTAGAAGCCTGGAAGTTACTTTTCAGTTTTTTTTAGAATCAATCCAGATTTTTAAACAATGCATTTCTAGAAACAAATGTGTATCCCAAGTCTCCCACTTCCTGTTGTGTAAACTTGGACCCGTGCGAGTCCAGAGGCGTCGAGGTCCAGGACAATAGTAATGACCCTTCACCATTCTTCCTCAGGGGAGTCAGCACCTCAGCATTTATTGAACCACTATCTGATTACTAAAAGGCTGCCCCCCCCACGTCCTCTGTTATAAATGAACCCACTGCATGTGTGTGTGTGTGTGTGTGTGTGTGTGTGCGTGTGTGTGTGCGCGTGTGTGTGTGTGTGTGTGTGTGTCTCCCTGCAGCTGAAGCCATTACAGGGAGCAGTGAATGGGTTAGAGCACAGCGGCCAGTGCTCTGTCAGTTCATTACCGCAGTGATTGTGGGACGCCAGAGACAAGAGAGCTGGAGAAAAGAAGGAAAAAAAAGATTTACCCTGAAAGGCTACAGTGGAAACACAACAACAGACTGTCTCCAAGAACACACTCAGTGGTGTTTGGATGGCAGGGATCTGTTACCGCTAAGTTGCTGCATAAAGAAACAAAGTAAGATAATCAAGGTTAGACGTCAGGAGGCCTCTGTGGAGATGTTCCAGCTCTCCTCGATTAAAGGACAACAGAAGGAGGTAAACCCACTCCCAGCTCATTATTATGGGTTTAAAAAGGCATTAACAGAAAGTACTCTAGATACTTTTCTGATTGTTTCCTGGTGTGATGATGCCACTGAACCCAGCCTCATTTACCTGCACATGTGAACTGGTCACTCTAGGTCTGGACTTGTGGGCGCCTTTCCAGTCCTGCACCGCACAGCCTTACTGCTCGTTCTTCAGCCCGAGACCTGATTCTACAGCCTCAGTCCTGATTCTACAGCCTCAGTCCTGATTCTACAGCCTCAGTCCTGGGTCTACAGCCTCAGTCCTGATTCTACAGCCTCAGTCCTGATTCTACAGCCTCAGTCCTGAATCTACAGCCTCAGTCCTGATTCTACAGCCTCAGTCCTGGGTCTACAGCCTCAGTCCTGGGTCTACAGCCTCAGTCCTGGGTCTACAGCCTCAGTCCTGGGTCTACAGCCTCAGTCCTGGGTCTACAGTCTCAGTCCTGGGTCTACAGCCTCAGTCCTGATTCTACAGCCTCAGTCCTGATTCTACAGCCTCAGTCCTGATTCTACAGCCTCAGTCCTGATTCTACAGCCTCAGTCCTGGGTCTACAGCCTCAGTCCTGGGTCTACAGCCTCAGTCCTGGGTCTACAGCCTCAGTCCTGGGTCTACAGCCTCAGTCCTGATTCTACAGCCTCAGTCCTGATTCTACAGCCTCAGTCCTGATTCTACAGCCTCAGTCCTGGGTCTACAGCCTCAGTCCTGGGTCTACAGCCTCAGTCCTGGGTCTACAGCCTCAGTCCTGGGTCTACAGCCTCAGTCCTGGGTCTACAGCCTCAGTCCTGGGTCTACAGTCTCAGTCCTGGGTCTACAGCCTCAGTCCTGGGTCTACAGCCTCAGTCCTGGGTCTACAGTCTCAGTCCTGGGTCTACAGCCTCAGTCCTGGGTCTACAGTCTCAGTCCTGGGTCTACAGCCTCAGTCCTGGGTCCACAGCCTCAGTCCTGGGTCCACAGCCTCAGTCCTGGGTCCACAGCCTCAGTCCTGGGTCTACAGCCTCAGTCCTGGGTCTACAGCCTCAGTCCTGGATCTACAGCCTCAGTCCTGGGTCTACAGCCTCAGTCCTGGGTCTACAGCCTCAGTCCTGGGTCTACAGCCTCAGTCCTGGGTCTACAGCCTCAGTCCTGATTCTACAGCCTCAGTCCTGGGTCTACAGCCTCAGTCCTGGGTCTACAGCCTCAGTCCTGGGTCTACAGCCTCAGTCCTGGGTCTACAGCCTCAGTCCTGATTCTACAGCCTCAGTCCTGGGTCTACAGCCTCAGTCCTGGGTCTACAGCCTCAGTCCTGGGTCTACAGCCTCAGTCCTGGGTCTACAGCCTCAGTCCTGGGTCTACAGCCTCAGTCCTGGGTCTACAGTCTCAGTCCTGGGTCTACAGCCTCAGTCCTGGGTCTACAGCCTCAGTCCTGGGTCTACAGTCTCAGTCCTGGGTCTACAGCCTCAGTCCTGGGTCTACAGTCTCAGTCCTGGGTCTACAGCCTCAGTCCTGGGTCCACAGCCTCAGTCCTGGGTCCACAGCCTCAGTCCTGGGTCCACAGCCTCAGTCCTGGGTCTACAGCCTCAGTCCTGGGTCTACAGCCTCAGTCCTGGGTCTACAGTCTCAGTCCTGGGTCTACAGCCTCAGTCCTGGGTCTACAGCCTCAGTCCTGGGTCTACAGTCTCAGTCCTGGGTCTACAGCCTCAGTCCTGGGTCTACAGTCTCAGTCCTGGGTCTACAGCCTCAGTCCTGGGTCTACAGCCTCAGTCCTGGGTCCACAGCCTCAGTCCTGGGTCCACAGCCTCAGTCCTGGGTCTACAGCCTCAGTCCTGGGTCTACAGCCTCAGTCCTGGGTCTACAGCCTCAGTCCTGGGTCCACAGCCTCAGTCCTGGGTCTACAGCCTCAGTCCTGGGTCCACAGCCTCAGTCCTCTGTGGGAGCATAACCCTCTCATAATATGGGCCTCCTCTCCTCATCCTTTCTCACATTATTCCCAATGTTTCTTTCCCCATCCCCTCTCCTCCTCCTCCTCCCTTGTAATCGCAGCCCCCTCGGCCTCCTGCCTCCTGCCTGAGCCTGAGCCTGAGCCTGAGCCTGAGCCTGAGCCTGAGCCTGAGCCTGACCCTGACCCTGAGCCTGAGCCTGAGCCTGAGCCTGAGCCTGAGCCTGAGCCTGAGCCTGAGCCTGAGCCTGAGCCTGAGCCTGACCCTGAGCCTGAGCCTGAGCCTGAGCCTGAGCCTGAGCCTGTATGGAGCATGATCTCCCCACGCTTTCTGACCACTCTCTGTCTCTGTGTTTCTCACTGTTTAATTAAAAGATGGCGAGTGGCTCCGCTGTGATCGTTTGTGCTGCTCTGGCTCGGACTCTCGGCCCCAGCGCTGGGCCTCTGCGTGAGGTAGAGAGAGGAGGGTGTTATTGCCAGATGGTGACAAAGCACGATCGATAGGGAATGGGAATCGTGTCTGTCTGAGGTGTAGCTTTATAACAGTTGCAAATCAAATCAGAAATGCACAGAAGATAGTTTATTGCAATACTTTCCACTTGGTAGTTGCAGTTTTCTTAGATTCTGTCTTTGTGGAAGGTACATATTGGAAACAGAAAGGTCATTTTCATGGTAACCACTTTTCTCACTGTTTTTTCATTCATCAATCAATCAATATTTATAGAGCACTTTTCCTACACAGGGAAACACAAAGCCAAGTCCACACCACACAAGGCACAAATCATCACAAAAACTAAAACATTTAAAAACACAATGAAAAACAAACAGGTAATTAGCAACATTACAACATTCATTTATTTTCATTCCCTTTATTAGTCCGTTTCTGGATCGAGACGGGCCAGTCCTCACAGCACCGGCCCCTCACTGGTCCTCCTGCAGGGGGTGGGTCCAACAAAGACATAACCTTTCAGTGGGCGCTTCAGGCAAAGTGGGGCTGAGAGTCTTGCCCAAGGACACAACAACAGCAGATACGCCCATCAGCTTTACCAACGGAGCCACTGTCATCCCACTCTTCTTTACATTCTGCAAACATCAAACTTTATCTTTGTCTCTTTTGACTCTTTATTAAAAATTATGTTTCTTCAGAAAAAGGAGAGATCAGTCTTTGTGGAGTTTTATTTTTTCTTGTGGCTGAACCAAATGTCACGGGAAAATTCTTGCCTGAAGTTTCATAATTCAGCAACAGTTGATTCTACTTTAGCTGCTCTTGGGAAACTAACTGTGCAATGAAGAAATATAAATGTAAATAAATAAATATCCATTCTACTGAGCGGTGAGAGGAGAGCGAGGGTAATACTGTAAAGTACAACATCAGAGATTGTTCAGTTCTAATCTGCTGTTTATGGTTTTACACTGGTCCAGACCAGAGCAGAGAGGATTCATGGTTTTACACTGGTCCAGACCAGAGCAGAGAGGATTCATGGTTTTACACTGGTCCAGACCAGAGCAGAGAGGATTCATGGTTTTACACTGGTCCAGACCAGAGCAGAGAGGATTCATGGTTTTACACTGGTCCAGACCAGAGCAGAGAGGATTCATGGTTTTACACTGGTCCAGACCAGAGCAGAGAGGATTCATGGTTTTACACTGGTCCAGACCAGAGCAGAGAGGATTCATGGTTTTACACTGGTCCAGACCAGAGCAGAGAGGATTCATGGTTTTACACTGGTCCAGACCAGAGCAGAGAGGATTCATGGTTTTACACTGGTCCAGACCAGAGCAGAGAGGATTCATGGTTCGAACCAAGTGGATCAGGTGAAAGTCCACTGGAGGAATGCTAACTTTTTGAAAAATGCTAATAAAGTATTCTGCATTTTACTTTGGACCAGAGCAGAGACAATGGTCTGAACCAAGCGGCTCCACCTCTGCTGCTGAGACCTGAAGGATCTATCTATCTATCTATCTATCTATCTATCTATCTATCTATCTATCTATCTAAACACATACAAATCCAAAACCCCCCAAATTGTCCGAACACAGCCGCTGTAATCCATCCCTGTCGCTCCTGTCTCCCGTCGCCGTCCACTATCGGGCGCTGAGAGACGACAAATTATCCGCTGAGCTTTGATCGAACAAACAGCGAAGTTGTGGAGGCTGCAGGATTGGATCGTGTCGGCAGCGACGCCCTGCAGCGGCGGCGTTCTGACCGTGGTGTCGCATGTGTAATTAATGAAGACCATCGCTAATTACTCCAGTGCGGAGAGGAGCGCGAGGGGAAACAGGAGAAGGTCAGGCTGTCTGCTGTCGGTACGAAGAGCCGCTAACACAGAGAGTGATGCATGAGATAAGATAAGATAAACCTTTATTAGTCTCACGGTGGAGAAATTTCAGTGTCATCGTTGCACATTACAGCAGAGAAAGGAAATAAGAGCACTCAGATTGCACACATCAAAGTCTATTATTTAAGATAATAGACAATAAATTTAAGATAAAATAAAATAAAATAAGAAAATCTGGGCTACAATTGCACTTGGTTCGGAGTATTTACAGATGTCTATATTATACATTAGCAGCGGAGAATATGAGAATATGAGCAGAATAAACATCAGAAATAATATCAACAGGTAAAGTGACTTGAATGGGAGAATTATCAGATGGATATGAATAATACAGTAAGATATCAACAGGTAAAGTGACGGTGGAAGGCAGAATTATCAGATATGAAATAATACAGCAGTACTGATAACAGTAAATATCAGATATGTAGTACTGTAGTAGTACTGATAACAGTAAATATCAGATATGTAATACTGTAGTAGTACTGATAACAGGTAAAGTGACTAGTGACAAAGTTACTAGTGAATTATCAGTGACACTTGTGCAGGCTCAGCAGTTCCTGTTACACATTCTCGTTGTACAGTCTGACAGCAGCAGGAAGGAAAGACCTACAGAACCTCTCCTTCACACATCGAGGGTGAATTAGTCTGTCACTGAAGCTGCTCTCCAGAGCAGAGAGAGTGTCCTGCAGGGGGCGACAGTCATGGTCCAGCATAGATGTTAGTTTGCTCAGGACCCTCCTGTCCCCCACCTGCTGCACTGTGTCCAGGGAACAGCCCAGGACTGAGCTGGACTTCCTGATGTTCCAGCTTCTTCCTGTCCCTCTCTGTGATGCTGCTGCTCCAGCAGACCACACCGTACAAGAGGCTGATGCCACCACAGAGTCATAGAAGGTCTTCAGGAGTGGCCCCTGCACTCCAAAAGACCTGAGCCTCCTCAGCAGGTAGAGGCGGCTCTGGCCCTTCTTGAAGAGGGCGTCTGTGTTATGAGTCCAGTCCAGTTTGTGGTTCAGATGAACACCCAGGTACTTGTAAGAGTCCACTCTCTCAATGTCCTTTCCCTGGATGTTCACTGGGGCTGGAGCGGCAGAGTGACGTCTACGGAAATCCACCACCATCTCCTTGGTCTTCCCCGCGTTGATGAGGAGGTGGTTCATCTCCTTGGTCTTCCTCACGTTGATGAGGAGGTGGTTCATCTCCTTGGTCTTCCTCACGTTGATGAGGAGGTGGTTCATCTCCTTGGTCTTCCTCACGTTGATGAGGAGGTGGTTCATCTCCTTGGTCTTCATCACGTTGATGAGGAGGTGGTTCATCTCCTTGGTCTTCCTCACGTTGATGAGGAGGTGGTTCATCTCCTTGGTCTTCCTCGCGTTGATGAGGAGGTGGTTCATCTCCTTGGTCTTCCTCACGTTGATGAGGAGGTGGTTCATCTCCTTGGTCTTCCTCGCGTTGATGAGGAGGTAGTTCATCTCCTTGGTCTTCATCACGTTGATGAGGAGGTGGTTCATCTCCTTGGTCTTCCTCGCGTTGATGAGGAGGTGGTTCATCTCCTTGGTCTTCCTCACGTTGATGAGGAGGTGGTTCATCTCCTTGGTCTTCCTCGCGTTGATGAGGAGGTGGTTCCGCTGACACCAGTCCACAAAGTCCTGTATACCTCCTCTGTACTCTGCGTCATCGTCCTCGTAGCTGAGTCTGATGATGGCAGAGTCGTCAGAGAACTTCTGTAGAACACAACCGTCCGTGTTGCGTCTGAAGTCCGCAGTGTAGAGGGTGAAGAGGAACGGTGCGAGGACTGTCCCCTGGAGGGCCCCCACACTGCAGGTCAGGACCTCAGACACAAAGTCCTTGGTTCTCACAAACTGGGGTCTGTCTGTGAGGTAGTCCAGGATCCACTGGGACAGGTCGTAGTCCACTCCAGCTGTCTCCAGCTTGTCCCTGAGAAGCCTCAGCTGGATGGTGTTGAAGGCGCTGGAGAAGTCGAAGAACATTAATCCTCACAGCGGTGCCGGGTTTCTCAAGGTGGGACAGCGAGCGATGGAGGAGGGAGATGATGGCGTCCTCGACTCCGATGCCCGGCCTGTAGGCGAACTGCAGCGGGTCCATCGCTGGGCTCAGAGTGGAGCGGAGATCAGATTCAGATTCAGATTCATTTTATTGGCCATGTGCAGTAAAACTACATTGGAAATACATGCAAAAAGAGGTACTCTGTGTGCACCGACAGAATAAAAAGCACGATACAATGTAATATAAATACACATACACTGAATATGAAATAATAAATAATAAAAAAAACAGCTGACACTGTGGCACCGATCGACAAAACAATACAAGGGGTAAAAGCAGTTTAAAAGCAGGTAAAAGCAGGAATTAAAATGCTCTGTTTAGGCACCTAACAGCCTGTGGAAAGAAGCTGTTAGCATAGCGAGATGTCTTGCATCTCAGTGACCGGTATCTTCTGCCAGAGGGAAGAAGCTGGAACATGGCTTTCCCAGGGTGGCCAGAAGAGTCACCGATGATTTTAAGAGCTTTATTTAAAAGTCTGGATTTGTAAAGAACCTCCAGAACAGGAAGCTCACAGCCCACGGTCCTCTTTGCAGAGCGGAGCACCTTGTTTAAAGCTCTCTTTTCTTTATCTGTGATGTTTCCAAACCACACAGACACAGAACCAACAAGTAAACTCTCAATGGTGCAGCGATAAAAGTTCAGCAGAATCTTAGAGTTAGTGGTAAATTCTCTAAGTTTCCGCAGGAGGTAAAGACGCTGACGGGCTTTCTTTACGACCCGGTCAGTGTTTTTAGCCCATTTCAGGTCGTTAGACAGAGTCAAGCCCAGGAACTTGCTCCTCTACGATCTGCACCTGGGAGTTGTCAATAACAACAGGAGTGTGAGAACTGCTATGACTGAAGTCAAAGACAAGTTCACATGTTTTTGCAGTGTTCAGCTGGAGATTGTTTACTTTACTCCACTGAAAAACATGTTCGATCTCTGCTCTATAAGAGGAATCATCATTGTCACTGATGAGACCGATGATGGTGGTGTCATCAGCATATTTGATGATCAGATTTGAGTCAGAGGAGGACACACAATCGTGAGTGTACAAAGTAAAAAGCAGGGGACTCAAAATACATCCCTGAGGAGAACCAGTGCTCACAGAAACAACATCAGAAAAACAGTCATTGCGGTAATCATTGAGACATGTTACTGGAGACTTCTTAGGAACAGGAATAATGGTGGACCTTTTAAAGCTCACCGGCACCGTACAGCTCCTGAGTGACAAGTTAAAAATGTCCGTTAAAACAGGGGCAAGTTGCTCGGAGCACAGTTTCAGGACGCGGGGAGGAATGCAGTCCGGGCCTGCGGCTTTCCGAGCTGTGGTCCTGGACAAGACCCGCCGTACTTCCTCCTGAGTCACTGTGAAGGCACCCTGACATTCGGGGAAGACAAAAGGCAGGGGATCAGCAGATTCAAAGCGGCAGTAAAAGTCGTTGAGCTCGTTTGGCAGAGTTTGGCCAGCAGCAATTTTCCCTGCACTTGGTTTCCAGGACGTGATGAGACTGATCCCCTTCCACATGCGTCGAGGGTCCTCTTCGCCAAAGAAGCCCTCTATCCTGTCCCCATAGGAACGCTTAGCAGCTTTTATAGAGCGTTCCACAGCGTAGCAGGACAGCTTGTAAGCACCCTCATCACTGGATTGAAACGCCAGTGTCCGCTCATTAATTCTTAATTTGACGTCAGTGTTCATCCAAGGTTTTTGGCCGGAGTGTTCTTTAATAACTTTATAGGGGACACAACAGTCAATGCAAAATTGTATGTATCCTGTCACAGCCTCACAGAATTCATCAATATTCTCAGAGTTAAAAACAGACCAGTCTGTGGCATCAAAGCAGCCCTGCAGCTTCATGTTAGCCTCCTCAGACCAGCACTGCACAGTGCGGGAAGTAGGTTTGTGCTGTTTGTTCCTCTGTGTATAAGAAGGAAGAAGGAGAACAGCGGAGTGGTCAGACTTCCCAAAAGCAGGTCTGAGACTGGACCTGTAAGCCGCCTTCACGTTACTATAGCAGTGATCCAGGATGTGAGCTCCCCTGGTAGGCTGACTCACATGCTGATAAAAGTTCGGTAATACAGACTTTAAGTTACATTTGTTAAAATCACCACCAACTATAATCACAGCATTGGGGTGAGCAGCTTCATGTTTATGCAAAATGTCACTTAAGTCATTCAGTGCAGCTGTACAGTCAGCCCGAGGATGAATATATACAGCACATAAAAAAATCACTGAGAATTCTCGGGGAAGATAGAACGGGCGGCATCTCAAAACCAGACACTCCAGGTTAGCAGAGCATGTTTTGTTAACAATAAAACTGTCAGTGCACCAGCGCTGGTTAATTAAAAAACACACACCTCCACCTTTCGATTTTCCTGTGCTCTCCATCTCTCTGTCCGAGCGGAAAATGGCGAATCCCGGCGGCTGAACAGCTGAGTCCGGGATATTGGGATGCAGCCACGTCTCGCTGAGGCAGTACACTGCGCAGTCCCGAGCCTCGCGCTGGTACTGGATACGGCTCAGGAGATCAGCCGACTTGTTCGGGAGAGACTGAACGTTCGCCAGGTAAATAGGTGGCAGTGGGACCCTGGGGGCGCGACTCCGCACGAGAAGCCCGCCACGCTTTCCCCGGTGTCTGCGCTTCCTCCGTCGGCGAGAGACACCCGGCTCCGTACGGTGGTGAACACGGGGGAGGCGCCCGGCCTCATCGCCCTGTTCCCAGTCTCTGTCGCGGTCCGCACGCCGCTCTCCTCGGGCTGGGCACTCCTCAAAGCCCTCACACCTAAGAGCAGGCGACACTGACTCACAAGCCAAGTCCCGTAAGTCCAGGAGAGTCTGTCGATCATATGCCACAGTGGCAAGTGTTTTGTGAAAGGATAAAAACAGTGAGAGGATAAAAACAATCACGGTGCACAACGGAGCTCTTGCAGCGGCGCCCTGGCACGGCGCCATCTTGAAGATGTCCCAGGACCAGTCTCTCCAGTGTCTTCATGCAGTGGGATGTTAGAGCCACTGGCCTGAAATCGCCGAGGTCTTTGGCCCGTGGTTTCTTGGGCACTGGTACCACACAGGAGGTCTTCCAGATCTGTTGAAGACGTGCCCCATAACTCCGCACAGTTCGTCTGCACAGGAGCTGAGGAGCCTGTCGCTCACATGGTCTGGTCCCGCCGCCTTCCTGGTCTTGATTTTCTTCATCACACCTCTCACTTGAGCAGGTGTGAAAGAAAGGGGAGGGCTGGGGGGCTGGGTGAGTATCTGTGTCTGAGGGGGGGGGGCCGTGGAGCACTGACAGAGGTGTGAACGACTGGGCTATTGTCCACTGCTGAGGCGGCTAGGACATGCGGCTGAGCTGGGGGAGGGGTGGGTCTCTGATCAAACCGCAGGAAAAATTGGTTTAGATCATTAACCCACTGGGGGTCCCCCACAGGCTGGACAGGGGGTGTTTTGAAGCCAGAGATGGTCTTCAGGCTCCTCCAAACCCCTGCCACATTCTGTTGGCTCAGCTGTTCCTCCATCCTGTTCTTGTAGCGGGCCTTTGCAGTCCTGATGCTCAGCCTCAGTCTCCGTTGTACCTCCTTCAGTGCCTGTTTGTCCTTTGATAGAAAGGCCCTCTTCTTCTCCTTCAGCAGGGCCTTAATCTCAATGTTCATCCACGGCTTATTGTTGGAGAAGCATCGTACCATCTTGGAAGGCACAGCGATTTCACAACAGAAGTTGATGTAATCAGTTATGCATTCCGTGATGGCATTGATGTCGTCCCCGTGGTCGCACAGTTCGTCCCACAAAGTGCAGTTAAAACAGTCCCTCAGCCTGTCTTCACACTCCACAGTCCACCTCTGGACCAGCCGAGGAGTGGCTGGTTCTCGGTGTACAATGGGCGTATACACAGGCCTTAGGTGCACGATGTTATTGTGAGATTTCATAACACTTTTAAGCAACTTTTGTTAAAGTTAAACTCATCAATCTATCAATGTGCAGAAGCCAGTACTTTTCCCTTGTTTTGTCTATCTGAAGGCCAAGCTACAAGCACACCGTGGAAGCTGCTGATTGGAGGTCTCCATGCCTCCGCTCTGTATAATACACTTGCATTCTCTTGTATCTGTGATTGTGTGCTTTGTTCGTGCTGTCTCTACCATCGACAATAAAACATGTCTTCTGTCTGAATGTAAGACGCGATCCCAGACTATGCCATCTTCTTCAGGTGGTGGAAGGATGCGGGCCTTGTCTGTAACATCTAGAGAACAGAAGACTTTTTTTTTTACACAAAAATGTGTTTTTTTTTTAAGCCAAAACAGAGAAACCTCAAGAGAATGCATCTGGACCAGCACATGGACAATCTGCACAGCCCCTGATTCCAGTCAGGCTGTGAGCTGCTGAGACATGGACAACCCCAGCGTCCTCTTTTGCAAGGACATAATTTGGAACAATCTGGATTTCTGAATTTGGACATAATTTGGACTGAATTGAATTGCTGAATCTGGACACTGAAGCTGAAACGTGTGATTCAAAGACACGTCACAGAAGAATTCATGGCTCGACACAAATGCAGCCTGAAGAGTCAACATGGAGAAGTGGGAGAGACTGTTTTCAAAGCAATATCTGGAACCACCATCGACTGATGAAGTTTGGTATTTTACTGAAGATTGTTGACAAGTTTTATGAAAGATCTGAACATGTTTTATGAGTTTTATGAGTTTTTGAAGTATTCCGAGTTCTGAGTTTTTTGAAGTACAGAGTGAAGTACCGAGTTTGAGTTTTTGATGTATTGAGTTATGATGTTATGTTGCTGTTTATCGATCCTGATGGTCACAGGTGAATGTGTGACCAGAGGGGGGAATGTGAGATTTCATAACACTTTTAAGCAACTTTTGTTAAAGTTAAACTCATCAATCTATCAATGTGCAGAAGCCAGTACTTTTCCCTTGTTTTGTCTATCTGAAGGCCAAGCTACAAGCACACCGTGGAAGCTGCTGATTGGAGGTCTCCATGCCTCCGCTCTGTATAATACACTTGCATTCTCTTGTATCTGTGATTGTGTGCTTTGTTCGTGCTGTCTCTACCATCGACAATAAAACATGTCTTCTGTCTGAATGTAAGACGCGATCCCAGACTATGTCATCTTCTTCATTATGGTCAGAGCAGCCGAGGGGGGGGAGGGCAGTTGGGTTGTATGCCCCTGTGGCATTTGCAAAGAAGAGGTCCAAAGTTCTATTGTCTCTTGTGGGAAAGTTGATGTACTGGGTAAATGTGGGAAGCACAGTTTGGGGGTTTGCGTGATTGAAATCCCCAGTGATCAAAAACAGAGCTTGGGGGTGCAGAGTCTGTAGGTTACTTACAGTAGAGTGCAAAAGGTCACACGCATCCTCAGCCTTGGCTGATGGGGGAATGTAGGCCACTACCACAATAACATGGCTAAACTCCCGAGGCAGATAGAAAGGCCTCATGCCAATGGCTAGCAACTCTATATCTCTACAGCATACCACAGTTTTGATAATGCAGTGCTCAGCTTTGCACCAGTAATTGTTCACAAACAAGGCAAGCCCTCCCCCTCTGCTCTTACCGGTGTGCAGCTTTGATCTGTCCGCTCTGAAGAGTGTGAAGTTGTCCAGTTCTATGACAGAGTCTGGCATGCTTTCTGTAAGCCAAGTTTCCGTGTATATTTGTAGACTGCTGTCTCTGTATTCCCTCTGAAAGCGGGTCAGTGCTGAGAGTTCGTCCGCTTTATTACAGAGAGAGCGTGTGTTGCCCGTAGTAACAGAGGGAAGCGTGGGTCTGTAGCGTCCCCGCCTCTTCTCTCTGCGTTTACGTCCCGCGCGACATCCACGAGTGGATTTTTGTAGCAGCTCCGCGGGGATCTCATGCCGGTCCCGCGGCATGACCACGGAGCTCCTCACAGCCAGCAGCTCTTCCCTTGTGTAAACAATGGGGGAGCCCGGGGGGAGGGGGTGTTGTGGTCCCACACACATCGCGGCAGCAGAATAAGTCCTCAAAACTTTGATAATCCAACAGAACTTGGCGTGGTAAAATGTGATCCGTGTGACTCGGTTATTCTCCCAGTGATTTATAAAAACGATATTTACAAAATAAAGATAAAAACAGCTATAAAGAGAGAAAGAAGGTTGAAGCTGAAGAGCGCAACGCGACGGGCAGCCAGCTCCTCCAGCGCCTGCGCAGAACAGGAGGAAGTCTGCCGCCCGGACTCCACCTCGCGCTCAGCCGTCACAGTGTCGTGTGGTGTTAGTTCTGTTTCTGTGTGGGGCGCCTGAGGTAACTACGTAATGTTTATTTATATGGCACATTTTCACAGAAGTCACCCAAAGAGCTTTACAATGTTCAGGAGTTCAGATATTTCTCCATTCTCTCCACACAATGATGGTGGAAGAGACAACAAACACACTGGACCATAAAAGCCTCTGACCAAACACCCTCCATTCACTCATCACATTCAGACCTATTGTGCATGTTTTAAGTGGTAGGGAAAACCGGAGCACCTGGAGGAAATCCTACACAGACATGGAGAGAACATGCAAACTCCACACAGAAAGGCTCTGTAAGACTTGGATCACATTTATGGACTGATCCCGTTGATGGTTTCCTCCACCCTTTGGTAAGTCACTTTTTGAGTCACCAATATCTGCCTGAAGCTTCTGAAATCTACCTCATGTTGTGTAGTCCTGTTGTGTAGTCATGTTGTGTAGCCCTTGGTTTTAGGCCCTTTTACATAAAACTGCATCTATCACATTTGGTACAGGCCTAGAATAAAAAACTAAAAAACTAAGAGGGTCCCTTTAAGGTGTGAAGATGAAAGGGTTAAATGTCATGGTAACAGAATGTTCAAACTGCTAAAATAGACACACACAAACCACTGCACACACACATATACACACACAAACCACTGCACACACACATATACACACACAAACCACTGCACACACACATATACACACACAAACCACTGCACAGACACATATACACACACAAACCACTGCACACACACATATACACACACAAACCACTGCACACACACATATACACACACAAACCACTGCACACACATACACATCACCTCTTGCATACACACAATCCACTGTACACACATAAACACACACTACAGTCCATGCACACACACACACACACACACACACACACACACACACACACACACACACACACACCAAGGTCAAAGTGTTATTGCATCTGTATATCTGCACCTGTATTTTATGTCTGTATTTTCACCAATTAATAGAGAAGAAAAAAATGATCCAACCCAAAAGTATATAGAGCCCTGGAAGCAACTGAGACGTTGTACTGGACAAGATCCACAGGTCACATGACTGGATCCACAGGTCACATGACTGGATCCACAGGTCACATGACTGGATCCACAGGTCACATGACTGGATCCACAGGTCACATGTCTGGATCCACAGGTCACATGACTGGATCCATGACTGGATCCACAGGTCACATGACTGGATCCACAGGTCACATGACTGGATCCACAGGTCACATGTCTGGATCCACAGGTCACATGACTGGATCCACAGGTCACATGACTGGATCCACAGGTCACATGACTGGATCCACAGGTCACATGACTGGATCCACAGGTCACATGTCTGGATCCACAGGTCACATGACTGGATCCATGACTGGATCCACAGGTCACATGACTGGATCCACAGGTCACATGACTGGATCCACAGGTCACATGTCTGGATCCACAGGTCACATGTCTGGATCCACAGGTCACATGACTGGATCCACAGGTCACATGACTGGATCCACAGGTCACATGACTGGATCCACAGGTCACATGACTGGATCCACAGGTCACATGTCTGGATCCACAGGTCACATGACTGGATCCACAGGTCACATGACTGGATCCACAGGTCACATGACTGGATCCACAGGTCACATGACTGATTATTACTCACTCAGATTGACAGTTCCTACCATCACAGGTTCTGTAACGGTTTCAAACTCCTGCTCGAGGCTTCGTGTTGTTGTTGTCCTCGAGTCCAGACGCTCACTTCGTCCTTGAGCCGCAGCCTGAAGGTCTCAGCGACGGACGAAGAGTGAGAATCCACCGGGGTCTGGTCCAGACGCAGACATCAGTGCAAATGTCAGCTTCTGTGTTCGCCAGAGTCCACACTACGTCAGGAAGAGACGGAACAAGAGGCGCGGTCGACCCGTTAGCAAAGACCATGGTTGGAACGGACACTCACAGATGGACATGTGTTTTCCTGGTTTAGTCCATGTTCAGTGGACCAGTCGGAACAGGGCCTTTCTAAGTGGAGTTTGCATGTTCTCCCCGTGTCTGCTCCGGTTTTCTCCGGGTGCTCCGGTTTCCCCTACCACTAAAAACATGCACAATAGGTCTGAGTGTAAATGAGAGAGTGAATGATGGTGTTGGAGCTGATGGTCCAGTGTGTTCTGGACTCGCTTCTGTCATCACCGTGTGTGGAAGGATTGGAACAATATCTGACTCTGAACATTGGTCTGTACCTGTGGGTCTGTACCTTGGTCTGTAACATGTGCTATATAAATAAACATTACTTACTATTTGCCATTAGCAGTTTTAAACCAGAGGTGGCGGCACCAAAGGGGAAGAAGATGGATAGTTACATAAACCACATTGGAATGTTTTTGCAAAAGTTAAGTCTAACGAATCTTAATCTGAGTTTTTTTACTGTTTGAATCTTGACACCGTCAGAGTCGGTGTAAAACTTTGAAGCACTTTGTCCTTTGTTTGTATTGTGCTGTACGTGCGGGTCCTCTCTTTCACTTTTGTGTCTGAAAAAGCTGATCTAAAGATGTGACTGAGACCAAGCACGTGAAAACCAAACTGCTCTGACAACAGTTAGACTGAGTACATAGTAGTATAGAGTTACATTTTTTTAAAGATTGAAAATTAGATACCCGAGCTTTAATACCGTGTAGAACTTTGCAAGCAGCATCCTGTCCCTGCAAACTCCATTACTTTCACTTTCACTTTCATTTCACATTCATGCTGTCGCTTTGTTCAAGAGAACATCATGTAACAGCTCCATATCCAACTGTCCTCTGCACCACACACACACACACACACACACACACTACAGACACACACACACACACACTACAGACACACACACACACACACACTACAGACACACTACAGACACACACACACACACACACACACACACACAGGACACTACAGACACACACACACACACACACACACTACAGACACACACACACACACACACTACACACACACACACACTACAGACACACACACACACACACACACACACACACACACACACACACACACACACACACACACAAATCTACATACACACACACACACACTACAGACACACACACACACACATCTACACACACTACAGACACACACACACACACACACACTACAGACACACACTACACACACAGACACACACACACATCTACACACACACACACACACTACACATCTACACACACACACACTACACACACTACACACACACACATCTACACACACTACAGACACACACTACACACACAGACACACACACACATCTACACACACACACACACACACTACACATCTACACACACACACTACAGACACACACACACACACACACACTACACACACGCACACAGACGCACACACACATCTACACACACACACACACACTACAGACACACATCTACACACACACACGCACGCATCTCATTTGAGCAATACAAACTTGACAAATGAAATCCTCTCCTTGTTGGCACCGCCGCTTATTTCAGATCAGATTCAGATCAGATTCATTTATTTGCCATTTGCAGTAAAACCACATTGGAAAAACTGTGCAAGACTACCCCGGTGTGCACCAGACAGAGGAGACGACACACACCAGAGCTCTTGCCACGGCGCCATTTTTCCGGCGCCATGCGACAAACAGTAGAATAAACAGCAGAGAGCAATAACATACAGTTTCACAGACAGTTGGATGGAAAACATTGTGCTTTGTATAAACCACGGATTTTTTTTCTCGGGATGAGCACCTCCGCAGCCGAATGTGGCTGTCAGAGGGGGGCGGGGTCAGGGAGGGGGTAAGTCGGAAACACAGTGAGGAGTGGAGGGGAGGGAGAGATCAGAGGGAGGCGGGGGGAGAGGGATCCAAGCTTGAATGAACGCAGTCATTTTGTCTCTCGCCGCCGCATCACGGTGACGCAAATCAAAGCCGCCGCGTCTCTTGAAATATTGACGGACGCGTTTCTCTCCAAGAACGCCGTTTTTTTTTTTTTTTACCCCCGTTCCCAAAAGATATATTGTGCTTTATTGCAGATGGACTGAATTATTTAGCCAGCAGACTGCGGGGATTTCTATGTGAGGCGTGATCTAATAACGGTATGGCGTCCATCAGAGCCGTGGGGAAGGGGTCGAGAGGACGACATCAGCCAGAGATCGCCTTTCATCTGAAACGGTCGTTATCAGACTGGTTTCTATCGGACTGACTGAGGTCTGGAGTTGGTTCTTGCCGATGTTTGAGGGTCTAAGGACAGTGAGGCTGATCCAGGACATTTATAGTATTAACATTTATAGACAGTGGTCATTCAGTTTGTATAGCCCTAAATCATGACAGTATTTATCTTGGAAGACTTTACACAACTGTTGAAATCGTCAACACAGATTAGAGAATCAACAGTTAAAACACATGAAGAATATAAAGCACACACAGAAGAAAATGTCCATACATGTTGTAGAATGCTAAAGTGTCCTGATCATCACCAATCCTTTCTGTTGGACACTAACTGTCCAACAAGACCCTCCTGCATCCACAAGGAACAACTCTTAAAAAACCCAGTGGGAAAAAGTGAGAAACCTTGGGGAGAACTAGGGAAACCCACAGGGAGGGAGACCCATTTGAGAAAGGGATCCGCTCCTCCGGACGGACAGGCTAATGATCCAGGACCTAAGCTAGCTACAGGACGTGGACCAGTGGACGCTGAACGTGGACAGGTCCGGTGCAGGACTGAAGCACTCCCAGGCGGGTCGGGCGGGGCAGTCCGCAGGTGTAGATGGAAGAGGCCAGGCTCAGAGATCCCGTCATCGTACCATGAAACAGACAATGGGACAACGGGTGAATAGCAATGAACAAACTACAGTCAAAATCCTAAAAATGCTAAACAGATAAAGTAGGAAGGAGGAGAGGATAGTGCTCAAGTTACCATACTTCTCCAGCAGGGGGCGCCCTATGCAGCTTGACTAACACTCTGAGGAGTTTAGCCTTCCCTGAGTCTTACCTTCCTAGCCATATGCTAAACTAAAGAGGACTGTTTTAAACCTAGCCTAGTGCGTAGGGCTGAAGATGCAGTGGACCAGGTCCAACATACGCAGACTCCAAGACCAGACAAACTTTGAAGAAAGAGCCCTGTGAGTCACTGACCACTAGTTTTACTGCCCGTAAATCTCGTTACTGTTTTCCTTTTGATGTAATGACTTGACAATATTACTTTTAGTTAAGTATCAAAACAAAATGTGTTGTAAAAGTGTTTTCCATTTTACAATCAGGATCTTCAACCTTTAGGTTGTTCAACTTAAAGAAAATGGGACAGGCCGCTCCCTTGAGTCTGAATTGAAGTTGGAGAAAGTTTTGTGGACGCAGCGGACTGTAGCTGTCACAGTGTTATAGATGAGTTTATTATAAAAGCTTTAGTTTCAGTCTCTGAGTCCAGTCCAGTCCAGAGGAAAGGTTTCAGTCTCTGAGTCCAGTCCAGTCCAGAGGAAAGGTTTCAGTCTCTGAGTCCAGTCCAGTCCAGAGGAAAGGTTTCAGTCTCTGAGTCCAGTCCAGTCCAGAGGAAAGGTTTCAGTCTCTGAGTCCAGTCCAGTCCAGAGGAAAGGTTTCAATCTCTGAGTCCAGTCCAGTCCAGAGGAAAGGTTTCAATCTCTGAGTCCAGTCCAGTCCAGAGGAAAGGTTTCAATCTCTGAGTCCAGTCCAGTCCAGAGGAAAGGTTTCAATCTCTGAGTCCAGTCCAGTCCAGAGGAAAGGTTTCAATCTCTGAGTCCAGTCCAGTCCAGAGGAAAGGTTTCAATCTCTGAGTCCAGTCCAGTCCAGAGGAAAGGTTTCAGTCTCTGAGTCCAGTCCAGTCCAGAGGAAAGGTTTCAGTCTCTGTTCAGTCTCGGGTCACAGACTAAACAGAGAGTTGGGCAGGTTTGTACCATTGTAGTCGGGGATGACTGTAACATAGAGACAGATAGATAGATAGATAGACAGATAGATAGATAGATAGATAGACAGATAGACAGATAGATAGATAGACAGATAGATAGATAGACAGATAGACAGATAGATAGATAGACAGATAGACAGATAGACAGATAGACAGATAGACAGATAGATAGATAGACAGATAGATAGATAGACAGATAGACTGATAGATAGATAGACAGATAGACAGATAGACAGATAGATAGATAGACAGATAGACAGATAGACAGATAGACAGATAGACTGATAGATAGATAGACAGATAGACAGATAGACAGATAGATAGATAGACAGATAGACAGATAGACAGATAGATAGATAGACAGATAGACAGATAGATAGATAGATAGATAGACAGATAGACAGATAGATAGATAGACAGATAGACAGATAGATAGATAGACAGATAGACAGATAGACAGATAGATAGATAGATAGTAAGTAATATTTATTTATACAGCACATTTTACAGACCAAGCTCACCCAAAGCGCTTCACAATGTTCAGAGTCAGATATAGTTCCATTCTCTCCACACTGGCATCAAAGTCTCCGACCAGTGGAGGGGGAAACTGAGGCGCCCGGAGGAAACCTGCACAGGCCCGTAAAGAACAATAATAATTATTATCAATAAAATATTGAAGTTGCATATTTGATGGTTATTGGCTACAATTTTATTCTTAAATGTTAACACCACAGATCATCAGTGAAACAGTTCATAACAGTAGAAATAACAGTCGTGAGTGACAGGGGCGACAGTAGCTCAGCAGAGCACTGGTCTTTGGACCTAATGGTCATGGGTTCAAGCCCACCACGACCATCTGCTCCCACTGATGTCTGCTGTCGCTGTGTCCCTGGGCAAGACACTTAACCCCACACTGCCTGAAGCCCCCGCTGAAAGATCAAGGCCATCGCGTCGATGACGGAGAAGCCCTCTCTCTGTGGACCCACCCCCTGCAGAGGATCAGCGAGGAGCTTTGAGACTTGGGTTCTGACCC